TTAACTAGAAATTCCAAATCCACTTAAACTCCATTCCCACTTACAACGTATAGACGTAGTTCAGTAGTTATATTAAAATTATATATGTATGTATGTATTTACTATATATAATCAAAAATTTTAGTATTAATTATTTTAACATACGTAGCACGTAATTTACATTAATAATTAACTTGTGAGTAACTCGCGAGTTAAATTTTCATGATTCGAAGAATGATAAATTTGAATTATTCGATCAGTTATGTAATCGTTATTTAAAGTCTGATCTCACAATGAATGAATAATAGTTGAATACGTGATGTCGATCAGTACGTCAGTTGATAACTCACACATCTCAGATTACAGCTAACGCATGTCAGGTGACCGATCGACAGGTGACGCGTGTCATCTGAAAATTGGTATTTGACGTGTGTCAGATTGTATCTGATGCAAGGATGCATCTGAGGTACAACATATATATGATATATATATGATATATGTAGGATATATATACGATATGTGTAGGATATATGTAAGATATCCTGCATCAACTCTACACATATCAGGTACCTGATAGATATATGATATATATATGATAGGTATCAGATATATGATAGATTTTTATTGATACCTGTCAAGTACTTATCTGTTATCTATCTAGTACCTGATATTTATAATCGAACATCTATTCTACACCTATTCTATACATATCTTACATATATTCTATACATATTTGCATACCAGATATATGTAGAATATGTGTAGGATATATTAATTTCGACCTGTGTTATTTATTTACAAATATATATTTATTATTATAATATGTTTATTTAATTTTTTTTATTTATAAGATTAAATTTATTTATTAGAATTTTTATAAAATAAAATATAAACTTATAATATTTTTAAAATAGTTATTTTTTAATAATTAATATTTAAATAATACTAATAAATTATATTTTTATATATATTTAAAAATTAAAATTGCTTTAGACTTTTAATTTTTATATATAATATTAATAAAATATAAAATAATTTTATATTAGGGGAGCGCTAGAAATCAGCTGATTTTTTAGGAAGGAAGGGGGTAAAAAAAATTATCAGGTATATAGTTTTAGCCAATTAAAATTTTTTATTTAAAATCAAATAAAAGGAGAGGGGGTAACCTTTTAATAAAAAAATATCAGCTGATAAATAACCCTCCTCTTATAATATAATATTCATTGAATATTCAGTGAATATTTGAATAGTTATTTAAAATTTTCAATAAATATTTCAAATATTAAAAGATTGAATATTCGAATACAAATTTTTTGATCAGATCAGACCTCTACTTAGTATTGATCAATGATTTTTTCATGTAACAAGGTTGGTAAAAACTATCTGTTGATATTCAGGGCTCATATCTTCAGAAAGTTGAGGATCTCGAAAGGAAAAAAATTATTTACTTAGGTGGGTCATTCCTAGGTCATACTCTAGTGTAAAATTTAAGGGTTACTTTACTTTTTACTGTGATAATGAGATAGATCAAGAGAATCTTTATATGGATAGGAATATAATAGTTTAGCAATTTGTATGTAGATTTAACTAGCCAAGAGCAATTTTGTAATCTACTTTTGATTTATAAAATAAAGATAGGATCACTGAAGTAAAAAAAGTAAAAAAATAAAAAAATAAAATAAAAAATAAGATATATAGTAATATATAAATTAGTTGTTTTTGAATGATTGACTTTTTACTTTTTAGCTTGAAAGATAATAAATTGGGTAAAGTTGTAACTGTTGATTTCATTTTATCAGAATCAAATTCATCTGTACTTTCTTTATCTAATAAAAATTTATACATGTTGCATACAATCTCAGTTCTAAAACATCAATAATGTGTGTACTAAATAATATACATTTTCAATATTAACATTTGATAAAACTTAATAGAGATTGATGAGTTCTTGAATAAACAGCTTTTATATATGCCAGACCCCTTAATTAAACACCAGAATTCCATTACAGTACCACAAACACTGCTGTAAAGATTGTTTAACACGTTCTTATCATTATCTCTTCAAATTTTTGGTTTAGCACTTATGGGAAAAAACCAGTTATAATTTTTTGATATCTATTGTTGCTCATTCTTAGAATTCAGCAAACTCGTTTCAAGATATCTAATATTTACAGTTGATTTAAATTTCTGATTATATTATACAAAAATATTGCATAGTATACATTATTAAAGTTTTGTTATTCGATACATATATCATACATCTAATTATGAGATCTTTTTATAAGAACTCTAACTGAATAATGTGATTTATGGTAGAACTCTAGTATTCTCCGTGCTACACAATAGTTAAAATGGTTCAGTCTAAACCGGGTTTTCAAATCTCATCTCAAAGTAATCACATATAAATAATCTAGAATAAATTATTATGCTTTTTTCGATCTATTCCCTATAAAATATGTGATCGAAAATTAGTATGATAATTGATCTAAACTGATAATTTAGAAATTATAATATAAACCCATCAAAACTGCCGGCTGGTTGCCAGGACAGTTATTAATAGTTACCTTTACAAGCAGAACGGTCACCGGCTGGTTGCCAGGCATGAGCACGTTCTGTTTGCACTTCTACCAAAACTGCTGGCTGGTTGCCAGACACAGTTTGATAGGGTTGCAAAGAGAGGTCACACTGCCTTGTTGCTAGTATGAATTATCTCTACTTTACACGTCCATAGGTCTACCACCGGCTGGTTGCCAGACGTGATAGTCATAGGTCGGAAAACTAAAATGTTGTGAGAAGAAAGTTAGTAGGGACAATTTTTGACATAATTGTAGTTTCGGATTTTAAAAAGTCCTAAGTGACTTCATTGAAATGGTAGTATTTCCATTCTGTCTAACGAAATCAAGAGAAACCGTATCAAAAATAGAAACACGTTATAAAATTGATCTATAAATGTGAATAAGTCTACTAATCAAACCCGAAGCTTTCGTAGAATCCACCAACATAATGTTCCAATTTACCTAGAGAAAATATATATAAGTAAAATCCGTGATATGATTAGCTGATAATCATGAGACAATACATGAACTTTCGTGTAACAGTTTGGGCGTAATTCAAGAGCACGAAAAACTTGACACATGCTTACAGAAAACAAGGGTTCGCATCGCACTGTTGCAGTGCGTGATAGTCAATAAACTACTAGTACTGGTAATATAAAAAGTATATT